ATCAATCAGGTATAAAGCTGAATGCGACAGTTCAACAATTTGGACCTCAGATGCAGAAAACTGGATTCATCATTATTCTTGGCTCATGACATTCTCTTCATCAGTGTGTTCAGTCATGCTGCCACTTCCTATGACATCACCACCAACAGGGAAACCAGGACATAGATTTACATTTACATTCACCTCTGATGCTCCATTACCTCACCCAGCCTTTTCCCATTCAAGACAACACCAGCAAAATCATCATTCTCTTGCTTTTTCTTTTAACATCCTAAACAGTGTTTGGGGGGATTTTATAAAGTTATTAACTTTATGAAAAGCCTAATGCATGTTGTATATAATTTTTAAGAAATTACTCTTTTCACTCTATATTATACAGGTGGGACAAAAATAGGTTTATAGTTGCGTGTATGGGAAATAATAATAATACAAAAATAAACTGCTTCATGTACCCACATCTGTAAACCTACTTTTGCTCCACCCTGTATTTCTAGGATTAATCCATATTGTGCCATTCATTTGGAGTGCTGTATAAAGATATCCTAACTTACCACTTTATAGATTAAAAGAAAATGAGGCCCATAGAAATTAAATCACTTGCTCAAGTACTACAGCTTGCATGAGTTGGGTTAGGAGTCAAACCTGAAGGCCTGCCCAATTGTTGTAGCTTAGGGATTGTGTTGACCTATGAGCCAGGAGGTCATGGTTGCAGTCCGGGTTTGGGCACATGCCCAGGGTTGTGGACTTGATCCCCAGTGGTGGGCCTGCAGAAAGCAATTGATGATTCTCTCTCATCATTGACTAGAAGCCCGGCGCACGAAATTCATGCGCAGGTACACTCCCTAGGCCTGGCCTGCGATCAGGGCCATTTTCCCCAGCTGCTCACAGCCACCCACCCCCGGTTCCGTTCCCTGTTCACCACTGGGCGATCAGAGCCTGGTGGCCTCACTGGCCCCGACCCCACCACAGGTTGCCCTCTGTGTGTGGGGAGACCAGCAGAGTGGGGGCCTTGGCCTGGTGCTGCCTGCATCCCCCTCCCAACCACCCCTGGTTCCCCATTTGCCATCAGGTGATGGGAGCCTCCCAGCTGGGGAAAGGGACCAAGAGGTGGTCAGTGCACCTCACAGTGACTGGTCGAGCGGTCGTTCCCCTGTTAGGGTCAATTTGCATATTACCCTTTTATTATATAGGACTAGAGGCCCGGTGCACAAAAATTTGTGCACTTGGGGGGGGAGGTCCCTCAGCCTGGCCTGTGCCCTCTCGCAGTCTGGGACCCCTCGGGAGATAACGACCTGCTGGCTTAGGCCTGCTCCTGGGTGGCAGAGGGCAGGCCCAATCCCTAGGTGCAGCCCCTGGTAGGGCTCAGAGCAGGGCCGACTGGGGAGTTGGGGCGCCGCCCCCTGTCATGCACAGAGCAGGGCGGATCGGGAGGTTGCGATGCCACCCTCAGTCATGCTCAGGATAGGGCCGATTGGGCGGTTGGGGCACCGCCCCCTGTAACACTCAAGCCAGGGTCGATGGGGAGGTTGCGGTGCCACCCCGTCACGCACAGAGCAGGGCCCATCAGGGGGTCGAGGAGCTCCCCCATCACTCACAGAGTAGGGCCGATAGGGGAGTTGGGGCACCGCCCCCTGTCACACACAGAGCAGGGCGGATCAGGGGGTTGGGGCGCCGCACCGTCACACTCAGGGTAGGGCCGATGGGGAGGTTATGGCTCTACCCCATCACACACAGAGCAGGGCCCGTGGGGGAGGGGGGGTTGGGGCGCTGCACCCTGTCACACACACAGCAGGGTGGATCAGGGGGTTGGGGTGCCACCCTCTTATCACCCACAGAGCAGGGCCGATCAGGGGGTTGGGGCACCGCCACTGTCACACTCAGGGCAGGGCGGATCAGGGGGTTGGGGCGCAGCCCTCTATCACCCACAGAGCAGGGCCGATCAGGGGGTTGGGGTGCCGCACCCTGTCACACACAGAGCTGCAGGGCGATCAGGGGGTTGGGGAGCTCCCCCCTATCAGGCACAGAGCAGGGTTGATCAGGGGGTTTGGGCGCTGTCCCGTCACGCTGATCCCGGTGCCGGGAGGCCTCGCGGCTCCGCTGATCCTGGTGCTGGGAGGCATATTACCCTTTTACTATATAGGATAGAGGCCTGGTGCACAGGTTGGGGCCGGCTGGTTTGCCCTGAAGGGTGTCCTGGATCAGGGTGGGGGTCCCCACTGGGGTGCCTGGCCAGCCTGGGTGAGGGGATGATGGCTGTTTGCAGCTGGTCACACACCCTTCAGGGTGGGGGTCCTCACTGGGGTGCCTGGCCAGCCTGGGTGAGGGGCTGAGGGCTGTTTTCAGGCTGGCGGGTGACTGAAGCTCCCAACCGCTCCTTTTTTTCTTTTTCTTTTTTTATTCTGGACCAGCTTTAGCTCTGAGGCTTGGCTCCAGCTCTTAGGCCTCCGCTGCTGAAAGCAGGTATCTGGTTTGTTTGGGTTCTATAATCGAAACACTGTTTCAACTCCAGCTCTGAGATCCCGGCTGGCTGAAAGCAGGTTTCTGGGGTTTTGTTTAGCTTCTATATTTGTAACAATGTTTCAAACTGCAAGCTCAGATGCTGGCAGCGGCAGGCGGGGAACGTTGGTTTCCTCCGTCACTGAAGCAAGCAGGCCTCATGTTCGCTTCAAGCTGCCTGGCTGCCAGCCGCCATCTTGGCTGGCAGTTAATTTGCATATTGCCCTGATTAGCCAATGGGAAGGGTGGCGGAGGTACGGCTAATTACCATGTTTCTCTTTTATTAGATAGGCTGTTTCTCTCCCTCTCCATTCCTCTCTAAAATCATCAATAATAATAAGAGTAATATGCAAATTGACCAAACGGCTGAACAGTGGAATGACCGTCCGAAGCCAGGGCTGTGAGGGCCGAGGCAGTTGGGGCTGTGAGGGCCAAGCCCCTTGCACAAATTTTGTGCATCGGACCTCTAGTTAAAAATATAAAAACAAATGAACCAAAAAACCTGAAGCCCGTATCCTTTCATACCTCAGTTATAAGCAGGGATTAAATTTCTCTCTTAACCTTTACAATGCCTAGCCTAGTACTGAACATTTTTTTAAAAGAACAGTATTATTATTACTAAGCCCACTAATAATGTGGGAACAGTGCAGGCATATTTGTCATTTGCCTTTCACAGGAAGTCACCTGAGGGTGTACAACATAAAGTATAGACGAAGGAGGGAGATGTGGGTCCAGGGAACAGCAAACCCTACCCTAGAGAAAGGTAAAGGAAGTCCCAGGACAAAAGCCTGGTCATAGAAACTGGAGCAGGACAGTGAACTCTGGTGGGTGGTCCTCATGGGGAAACCTGAGAGCTTAGAACCTGAAAATATGACAGAAGAATCGGCAGGATGCAGAACAGCCATTATATGAATTTGCCTCTAGCACTGGTTCCAACGCGGGGCCCAGGTTAGGACACTATTGCCCTGGAGAAGGGAACATCCTAGCAGTGCCTGGTTCTGCAGTAAATGTGCTCAGGGATCCCTGAAATGCTTCACTCCCCAATTTCATTGACGGCTACTTTCCCCTCATATTAACACCTGTGAATAAAAGGCACCTTCCAACCAATGGGTGGCATAGCTTCATCCGTTGTTTATTTTCTCCGTCAGTGGGACAGAGAGTGATGGCCCATCTCCCAGTCAGCAGATGCTGGATCTGATGAACTGTGTGCCAGGGACAGCTCAATAACGTCCTCTTCCTCATGCTCTGTCCATACAGTAGACGAAGCTGGTGTTATCAACATTTTACAGATAAGGAAACTGAGGCTGAAGGCTGGAACCATATGCTCCCGGCGACTGTCAATTAAGTGGCACAGCCAGAACGGAACCAGGTGCGACTTCAAGGCCATGTTCTCACTGCACCTTGACCATGGGCCATGCAAGGTGACCACCCTGCCGGAACCACTCAGGTCAAGGTGTAGCTCAAATGGAAAGCCTTCCGACTCCTCCAGGAAGCGGTCCTGCCCTCGTGTGCTCCCACATTTCAGGAATACCTGCCTCTATTTCCCCTTCTCACAACTCGGACCTAACAGGACCTGTGCCACCCGCTCTGGCCCCGCAGGGCCCACCACTGTCCGGCCCAGGTAGGCACTCCATGTCCGCTAAGGAACGGGGTCTCTGCCTCTAAGTGCAAAGAGAACACAGAAGTGCACCTACAACTGATCAGGCCACAAGCGGTGTAGCCCGAGCGCCAGGAATAAAGCGCATTGGAGTTTAAAAGACGCAGTGATGGCGCACGGCGCGCACACACACACACACCCCAGGCTGAAAATAGGCCGCTGAGACGTTTTCTTTGAACCTACACAGCAGGTTTTTTATTTTATTTTAATGAGCTACCAGCACTCATAACTGAACTTTCACGTAACACCAGGGCTCCTGGAGCTTCTGGGAAACGGGGAGGTGTTGGAACAGGTGCCCGTTCCCGCAGGGGAACTGGCTGGACGCATGGGCTGCTCCTTTCAGACGGCGCTGCTCCCTCCGTCCTCGGTGCCTCCGTCTTCCGCGCAGCCCGCGGAGAGCGCACTGGGACCCCGCGACACCCCTCACTGCTCCGCGTACTGTCCGCCCCCCCCACCCCACGCGCTCCGCCTCCGACTCCCTGCTTCACTGCTCCCGCGCTGCCCCTCCCCGGGTCTACGAACCTCAACCACACCGCGCAGCCCCTCCGCGAGGGCGCCGTTCTCGGGGGCCAGCGCGCCCCTCTTCCGCGGCCCCAGCAGCGCTCACTGTGCCGCAAACATAGGCCAACTACCTGCCGGCCCTGGAGCGGGGCCGAGGCGGTGCGGGGCCGGTGGAGCGCGGCCGAGTCCGGCCACGTGGCCCCCGGGCCCGGAGCGCGCGCCAAGCGGCGGCCCAGGTCCCCGGTCACCGCCAGCCTCAGCCCCCCCCACTTCCAACTCTCGCGAGGCCCGCCCCAGCGCGGCTGCGTTTCCGCGAGGGCCGCGCCCCGCTCTCCGGAAGGAGCCCTTCCGGCGCTGTGCCCCGGAAGCGGAAGTGTGGCTCCCGATCTGTCAGCGGCTCGGTGCTGCTCGGTGGTCCTGAAGTCTAGGAAAGTCGTTTCTCGCTCATTTTCCGTGGCTGTCGAGCGCTTCCCCCGGCGGGTGGGAGTGCAGAGCCGGAAGTGCAGGATGAGCACCATGTTCGCGGACACGCTGCTCATCGTGTTCATCTCCGTGTGCACGGCTCTTCTCGCCGAGGGTGAGGGCGCTGCTTCCCTGACGTCTGAGCTGTCCCCGAGGGGAGGGTCCCAGGCCAGGGCTCCCCGGCGCCACACCGGCAGGTCGTCAGCCCTGCTTGCTCGGCGACTCGGGCGGGAGGGATCGTGTGCACGCGGTGGTCCGGGTTCTTTGGTCCCTTGAGTGTCTGCGGAGACGCCTTGTCATCACGGTACAGGTGCAGTTGGTTAAGAGTCCGTCGTTTTAACTACCGGCGCCTGTAAAGCAAAAGAGTTGAAATCCTTCCTTACCCAACCGTGGCCACTAATGACTGTTGTGGGAACCGCTGCAAACATTTCTCCATGAGCACGTTGCGCTTCATGTTGCAGGTATCACCTGGGTTCTGGTTTACAGGACGGACAAGTACAAGAGGCTGAAGGCGGAAGTGGAAAAACAGAGTAAAAAATGTGAGTCTGGCAGCTCCCTTCAGACGTAGTTTCACGGGTCAATCCCACGGCAGCGCATGCTGGTAGTGAATAGTGGAGCAGCACCAGCCCCTGCAAAAACCTTGTTGGGACGCAGAGACGATTCCAGCTTGAAGTCTTGTTAGGAATGTGGCTTTTGTGCAAAATGTCAGTGACGTGAGAGGTATGTGTTACGTGCAGGGAAACCTTTGTGACGCAGGAGACCTTGCATTCCTTCATGGGTGGTGAGAATTTGGGTGGAGAATGAGAAGGGGGAAGGATTTCCAGATAAAGGACATAGCATAGATGCAAAAGGAGGGGCATTTTAAGGACTAGGATGTGTTTGGTGAACAACAGTCACTATGATTGGTATCAAGGTAAGTGGTGTCCTGGGGGAGAAGTCACGTTTCTTTTGGTTGAAGGTGTGTTTGACAAAAAGGTTAAGAACAAGTAGAGTTTATTGTCTTTGAAATAAAGAAGGAATTTCCACAGGGCTTTATGTCTTATAAGAGCTTGATGTTTTCTTTCTTACAATGTGTCATTTGATCCACATAACAACCATTTGTGGTGAGTTGTGTGAATATTCTCCTTTATAGGAAAGGAGATTGAGGCTTAATAAGGTCACAGTACAAATAAAGAATTGGACAAGCCCTAATTGGTTTGGCTCAGTGGGTAGAGCGTCGGCCTGCGGACTCAAGGGTCCCAGGCTTGATTCTGGTCAAAGGCATGTACCTTGGTTGCAAGCACATCCCCAGTGGGGGGTGTGCAGGAGGCAGCTGATCGATGTTTCTCTCTCTATCCCTCTCCCTTCCTCTCTATAAAAAATCAATAAAATGTATTTTAAAAAAAAGAATTGGACAAACTCAGGCTTTTTAAATTACAGCATACTGTTCCTTCCCTTGCTTATTATTGACAGTGCACCCCAACATATCTAAAACCAGGTTCATTTTCTTTACCTGCACAGGCGTAATCCTCTCTCAGCATTTCCCTGGCTGGGGAAGGTACCTCTATGCTCCAGGAGTGCAGGCCAGAGGCCCCGGAACACTGCCTTCATTTGGTCCTGGACACTGCACTCCTGGGCCTTGCTTTCCTCTGGCTGGTCGTTCTCTTGCAGGTTTCTTCTTGGTTCCTCTTCTTGACCTCCTGTTGTCGGGTTGATGCCTAGTGGTGAACTCATGTGTGTGCTGTTTGCCAGTGACCTCCAAATTTATGCTCCTGCTCTCTCCCTCTAATACAAGATTCACACTCTTAACTGTAGATTCACTGCAGTGCCTAATACCCATCTCAAACCCAGCACATCCAACCGAACTCTGTTCCTCGCTCCCAAGCCTGCTGCATCGGTAGCTTTCCTGCCTGTGCTCAGTGGCAGTTCTGTCCTTCCACTTGCTCAGGCCATCATCCCTGTGTGGTGTCCTTGACTCTTCGCTCACAGTCTACGTCCAATATTGTTGGGCTGCCTTCAGATATATCCAGAATCCGACTACTTTTCATCACCTCCACTGGTCCTCCATGGTCCAAGGCACCGTCATCTTTTGCATGATAATCGCAATAGCCTCCAACAAGTGTTTCTGTCCCCTTGTAGTCTGTTCCCCAGATAACAGCCAGGATAATCCTTTCAAAAGCCTATCAGATGATGTCCCTCTGCTCACAACCCTATGATGGTGTTCCATTTTCACTCAGAGAAGCCATAATCCTTCTAGTGGCCTTAGCCACTTTGGCTCAGTAGATAGAACTTCAGCCTGCAGACCAAAGGGTCCTGGGTTCGATTCCGGTCAAGGGCACATAACTTCATCGCAGGCTCCTCCCCGGCCTGGGCCCTGATTGGGGCTCATGCAGGAGGCAACCGATGTATGTGTTTCTCTAACATTGATGTTTCTGTCTGTCTTTCCCTCTCTCTTCCACTCTCCTTAAAAATCAATGGAAAAATATCCTTGGGCGAGGATTAACAAAATCCTTCTAGTGGCCATAACCTTCCCCTTACCGCTCTGATACACTTTCCCTGCCACTCCCCTGTTCCACCCACACGGACCTGCTTTCTTTGTGCGAACTTGTTCTGCTGGGATCATACATTAGTCGGCCATCATGCGATGGGGTCTGTATGCACCTTTCATGTCATGTGTCAGTGAGAAGCCTCGTGAAACAAATTTCATTTAGCTTCACATTTGTTTGGATAATATTCTCTACCTTAATTTTCACACAAATAGCTTATGAGCTTCTTTAGTTCCACTCTAATTGCTTCATTTCTAATTATCTGAATTCTAGAAATCAGTTGTCTTCACTCTACACCCAAATTCAAAGTAAAGTAGTTGCCAAGCAAAGCTCCCATAGTTGTACTTTTTTAAAAAAATATATTTTATTGATTTTTTTACAGAGAGGAAGGGAGAGGGGTAGAGAGTTAGAAACATTGATGAGAGAGAAACATCGATCAGATCAGCTGCCTCCCGCACACTCCCCACTGGGGATGTGCCCACAACCAAGGTACATGCCCTTGACTGGAATCGAACCCAGGACCCTTGAGTCCGTAGGCCAACACTCTATCCACTGAACCAAACTGGCCAGGGCCATAGTTGTACTTTTTAATATAATCCTTTACTATGCTGCTGTGAAGGTAAGTTTGAGGTAGGCTGATGACTGGAATGACCCCTGCATTTCTCATAGTCTCAGGTCCTCTAGTTTGGGGCATCTATGGAAACTCAGTAAGTGTGTATTTGCATGTCTGTGATCAGTTGACATTTGATAGCTTGCTGTGTGTAGAGTTAATCATGATGAGTTCAATCTATAATAATAAAAGTGTAATATGCAAATCGACCGAATGCCCGAACAGTGGAACAAGCTTCCAGACAACCTTCCGGATGGAGCCAGGGCTGCAGCCGTGGGATTGAGGCAGCCGCTGTGGCTGCGAAGGCCTCCTCTTGCACGAATTTCGTGCATCGGGCCTCTGGTACAAAATAAATGGGCATAGAGCCTGTCTTCTAGATGGTTATAATCAAATGGACAACTGTTATATTGAGCACTGGAGACGTTTCACAGGAAGAAATACGTAAGTTCCTCTTTGAACAAATGTCCTAGTTGCAAATGCGTGATCTCTTCTGACATCCTCTATTCAGAAGGTGGTGTGGATCTAGGCAGGTAAAGTTTGTAGAGCCTTTGAGAAACACAAAAACATAAATAGATTTGACTTCAGATTAGATTATTGTGCTGATCTGATCCTTGACATTATTTGGGGAATACTGATATTTTCGGAAAAGCTGCCCTGCTGTGGCTGGCCTTTGACAAAAGATGCTTTTTTAAAGGCACACAATGAGTTGATTCAGGTGATCTGTGAGTATCAGTAGTCAGGTGCGTTCTAAAGATCAGAAAGTCTCCTTTCCTAGTAGAGAGCAATGAAAGAGCATGTCAAGAGAAAGAGTAAAAATGTGTCATTCACTGCTGTAACGATTGTATGGGAGCATTTACTGAGTACAAATTATTATGAAGTGTGAAGTGCTTCTGTTGTTCGCAGAAGAACAGGCTGGAGTCTTTTAAATAATTTATAGCTGAGAGAATCTGGAACTCAGAGTGCAGCAATGCCAGGTCATGGGCTAAACGCATTTCAGGGTCCTCATTTTATCTCTCAACTCCAGCATCTCCACTGCTTGTTATGAGGCGAGGCTCTGGTGAATAAATATCAATACAAAAGGGTTAGGAAAACAGGCGGTTAAAAGCTGATCGTATCCCTAGAGAAGATTTATCTGTCTCTGTCCAGTCTGCTGAAAGACCGCCTAGTGCTCAGGGAGCACCTTATCTTCTGTTCTCTGGCCTCTGTCTCTTGCCCCCCCCCCCACCCCACCCCCGTTTTTTACCGTTGCAGTTAAATGCCACATAGTTAGTCCTGGGTGGGAAAGAAATAGTTTTGTTTCTTTGCTTAATAATAATGATACAGAGTAAACCATTCAATTTCTGTCCATTTTTTAAAAAATGTTATTTCTGTGGCATCTTATAAAATTTGATTTAACTTCCTTTTATGATCTGTTCCTAAGTAGGTATATTCTAAATCTCTCTTTCTCCCCCATAGTGTTTTATCTTTATTAGAAAAATATGTTTTTATTGATTTCAGAGTGAAAAAAGGAGAGGGAGAGAGAAATACCAATGATGAGAGAATTATGAATTGGCTGCCTCCTGCTTGCCCCCCACTGGGAATCGAGCCCGCAATCTGGGCATGTTACCTGACCGGGTATCGAACAGTGACCTTCTGGTTGATAGGTTGATGCTCAACCACTGAGTCACAATGGCTGGGCTAGTGTTTTATCTTTTATCTACCTAGAATAGAATCTGTTACTTAGATGCCCAATATGTGTACATGCGTGTATGTACACACACACACACACACACACACACACTCACACTCGCACTCTCACTCTCACACTATTTTAGTCAGCACTTCACCATTTAATTTGTAGTGTTGCAGTCCAATGGAACTTTATACCTTCATAAAGCAGGAATGCCAACTTTGCTTTTAGAACTCAGCAGCATACTTAATGTAATGAAGGAAAGTATCCTATCTGACAGTTCTCTTTAATGCAACTTTTAGAAATAATACATGCACTGGATTGTTTTCTAGTGAAGGAAGTATACTGAGATAATATATGGAACAGATCATATAAATAAACCAAGTGAACGGCATATTTGACATGTTTATTCTTAGTCTATTCAATGGGGATTAAAGATAGTTACTATAAAATATAAATATATTTCACTATCCCTCTTTAAAAACATATGGTTACTCTATCGTATTTATTGAAATACATCAAAAAAAGTTGGTCTGCCCTGGCCAGTATGGCTCAGTTGGAGCATCATCCTGTGCACTGAAGGGTCGTGGATTCTATTCCCAAGTCAGGCCACATACTAGGTGGCGGGTTTGAGCCCCAGTCAGGGCACATACAGGAGACAACCTGGTGATGCTTCTCTCTCATGTTGATGTTTCTCTCCCTCTCCCTTCCTCTCTCTCTAAAATCAATTTTAAAAAATTTAAAAAAAAAATTTTAAGTTGGTCTTAGCTCTTCCTACACTGTGCATGTGTCTGTCTTGCCTGTTTTCTATACTGTAATTTTTATCTCCCCTCACTGGATTGCTCTTTAGAGGGCATGAATCATGTTTATCTCTTCACCTACCTAGAGCAGTGCCTGCTAGGTAGGCAGCCAATAGCTGAATGAGTGGGTCCTATCTTCTAGTGAACTTGAGACTGTAACTACAATTAGCTGTAGTTACGTGAGAGCAGAACTCAGAATGTGCTTGGACTCTACCTGAGGCAATCACCCTCCACTGATGGTCTGAAAACTCACTGTTTAGATTATGATTGTGTTCTGCAATCCTTCATGGGTATTTGATTAAAGATGCTACCATATTGCTGTTTTAGTCTTAGAATGTTGTGTCCATCTTTTACTGTCAGCAGGTGTGAGAGCAGACCAGTTGACTTAACCATGATCATAAAGTCAGCGTGTAACTTTCCTGTAAGCTTCTTCCATTGGTTCAGCTGTGGTAAAGGAGCTTTTGTTTCTTTACTACAGTGGTTCTCAACCTGTGGGTCGCGACCCCTTTGGGGGTCAAACGACCCTTTCACAGGGGTCGCCTAAGACCATCAGAAAACACATATATAATTACATATTGTTTTTGTGATTCATCACTATGCTTTAATTATGTTCAATTTGTAACAATGAAAATACATCCTGCATATCAGATATTTACATTCCGATTCATAACAGTAGCAACATAACAGTTATGAAGTAGCAACGAAAATAATTTTATGGTTGGCGGTCACCACAACGTGAGGAACTGTATTAAAGGGTCGCGGCATTAGGAAGGTTGAGAACCACTGCTTTAGTACAACGAGCAATTAATTTGTACTGTGTTACTATGTTGTTTACAGTGGAAAAGAAGAAGGAAACAATAACAGAGTCAGCTGGCCGACAACAAAAAAAGAAAATAGGTAAGGAGTTATTGGTATACACAAAATTTAGGTTTTCTTGGAAGAAGTAAATTCTCAGGTGATGATGCTATAAAAGATGGTGACCAAGGTAACGCGTGTGTGTGAGTGTGTGTGTGAGTGTGTGTGTGAGTGTGTGTGTGTGTGTGAGTGTGTGTGTGTGTGTGTGAGTGTGTGTGTGAGTGTGTGTGAGTGTGTGTGTGTGTATGAGTGTGTGAGTGTGTGTGTGTGTGTGTGTGTGTGTGTGTGTGAGTGTGTGTGTGTGAATGTGTGTGTGAGTGAGTGTGTGTGAGTGTGTGTGAGTGTGTGTGAGAGTGTGTGTGAGTGTGTGTGTGTGAGTGTGTGTGAGTGTGTGTGTGAGTGTGTGTGAGTGTGTGTGTGAGTGTGTGTGTGTGAGTGTGTGTGTGAGTGTGTGTGTGAGTGTGTGTGAGTGTGTGTGTGAGTGAGTGTGTGTGTGTGTGTGAGTGAGTGTGTGAGTGTGTGTGTGAGTGAGTGTGTGTGTGTGTGTGAGTGTGTGTGTGAGTGTGTGTGAGTGTGTGTGTGTGAGAGTGTGTGAGTGTGTGTGGGTGTGTGTGTGTGTGTGTGAGTGTGTGTGTGTGTGAGTGTGTGTGTGAGTGTGTGTGTGTGTGAGAGTGTGTGTGTGTGTGAGTGTGTGTGTGAGTGTGTGTGTGAGTGTGTGTGTGTGTGTGTGTGTTGTGTGTGGTGTGTGTGAGTGTGTGTGTGTGGTGTGTGGTGTGTGAGTGTGTGTGTGTGAGAGTGTGTGAGTGTGTGTGTTGTGAGTGTGTGTGAGTGAGTGGAGTGTGTGTGAGTGTGGTGTGAGTGTGGTGTGAGTGTGTGTGTGTGAGTGTGTGGTGTGAGTGTGTGATATGTGTGGTGTGTGAGTGTGTGATGTGAGTGTGTGAGTGTGAGTGTGTGAGTGTGTGGTGAGTGTGTGTGAGTGTGGTGTGAGTGTGTGTGAGTGTGTGTGTGTGATGTGTGTGTGAGTGTGTGTGGTGAGTGGTGTGTGTGTGTGAGTGTGTGTGTGAGTGTGTGTGTGAGTGAGTGTGTGTGTGTGAGTGTGAGTGTGTGTGTGTGAGTGTGTGTGTGAGTGAGTGTGTGTGTGTGAATGTGTGTGAGTGAGTGTGTGTGAGTGTGTGTGTGTGTGAGTGAGTGTGTGTGTGTGAATGTGTGTGTGTGAGTGAGTGTGTGTGTGTGAATGTGTGTGTGTGTGAGTGTGTGTGTGAGTGAGTGTGTGTGTGTGAGTGAGTGTGTGTGTGTGTGTGAGTGACTGTATGGCTTACCGAGCACTCGCTATGTTCTCTTACTCGATTCTCTCAGCCGTTCTGTGGGACATGTTCAGGCAGTTGCTCCTTTTGGGTCTTAGCTTTGAAATTTCAGTTTTAGTAAATGATGTTGACAGTGTGGCTTTTGAACTTGCTGAGGGTTCTTTGTGTAGTTTGCAAAAGCACATTGTTTTTAATACCTGACATGATTATTTCCAGGTAAGTCTGACTAGTAAGTCTGAGCTGCTTATGTTATTGCCATGGCTTCCTTACCTAGAATTGACTGGTGATGGAAACCCACTGAGGGTCGGAAATTTTCTGCCGAGGAATTCTTATGTCGTCTGAAAGATAATGACATGACTCTGGTTTTTCAGTGTGTTGTAGAATTTAGTTACCGAATGTAATTCTGTTCCAAAGAGACCATTTATAAATGACTAGATGTGCTTCGTATTTATGATGCTTCCTAACTCTGAAATAAGAGAAAAGCATGTATTTGGTTCAGAAGCGATGTTTCTGTACCGAGGTCACTGCTGTTACATCCCAGCAGGGAGTCCTGCCAGGTGGGCCTCTGCCTGGTCCCCTCTGGTGCAAGCTTCTCAGCTCAGTGCAGGGGCAGGGGTTTCGACGTGGCTGCTCATCTGGTTCCGTGGCAAGATGCTACCTACATCTGCTCTGTGCGGGTCGGTCACTCTGGTAGGCACTGGAGAAACAAGGCAGCGGAAGCTCTGTCCTTTAGGAGGTCTGTGCAGACGGCGAAAACACCCGTGCAGTACTGTGTGTTTGTAGACACATTCTGAGCGTCATGAGAGTAAAGAGAAAGTCTATCCAAGCCAACCTAAGGGGTCAGGTTTTCTTGAAGAGATGATGCTTTGGCTGAATCTTGAAGCTTTAGTGTGAGTCAGCTAAATCAAAATAGAAACAAAAGTGCTGGTCAGTATGTATTGAGCATTCACTATCTGCAACACTGAGTAAGCCCTTTACATACTTTTACTTTTTTAAATATATTTTTTATTGATTTCAGAGAGAGGAAGGGATAGAGAGAAACATCAGTGATGAGAGAATCATCGATTGGCTGCACATTAGAATCACCCGGGAATCTTTTTAAAATCCTGATTTCTGGGCCTCATCCTCCGGAAATTCTGTTTCTTTGTTATGGGGTGGGGCCACAACATTAGTAACAAAGAAACAGAATTTCTGGAGGATGGGGCCCAGAAATCAGGATTTTAAAAAGATTCCCGGGTGATTCTAATGTGCAACCAAGGTTGAGAACCACTGGTCTAGAGCAGTGGCCGGCAAACTGTGGCTCGCGAGCCACATGCGGCTCTTTGGCCCCTTGAGTGTGGCTCTTCCTAAGCCTTAGGAGTACCCTAATTAAGTTAATAACAATGTACCTACCTATATAGTTTAAGTTTAAAAACTTTGGCTCTCAAAGGAAATTTCAATCGTTGTACTGTTGATATTTGGCTCTGTTGACTAATGAGTTTGCCGACCACTGACCTAGAGTAAGAAAAGCGAGGCTGCGGGCGGAGAGTCCTGAGGAAACAGTGTCTGAGGGCGGTGGGAGTGGAGCTCTGCAGAGGGGCAGCCCGAGCCGTTGGAAAGGAGTCGCAGAGGTTGAGGGGAGCGTTTCAGGGACAGGTGCGGCTGAAGGTGGGTGTTAAGTGCCTGCGGGGCAGAACGGAGGCTATTGATGACTTAGCAAGAGTGATTTCCACAGCACGATGGAGGCAGGAGCCCGATTGGGTAGATGAGGGAGAGCAGGCAAGGTGAGCAACTGAGACCTTGAAAATGGACAGTTCTTTCCAGTAGCTTTGCCTTCAGTCGACGACACAGGATCTAAACTCAACCTTATCTTAACATGGAATGCGGCCTGAAGGTTTGCTCACCAAAGAATATCATTAAAAGTGAAGAGAAATAATATTTATGAAGAGTTGAGTATCAGAGTCTTATCAGGAGTTAAAGACAAAATATTTATTAGGTGCTGCTTACAAGGCAAACAGCCTGTCCATTCTCTAGTTCGTAAGTTTTACTCTTAGATTCAGCCCGACTCTTGGCAATCTGTAGCCTCAGCTGCATTCTTTGGACTTGGTGAGGCTGCCCCTGCCCTCTCACTCGCCTTGGCACTGCTGGGCCTGTCATGCGCAGCTCGCCCACATCCAGTCTCTCGGGAGTCCTCCTCGGGGTATTCATGAGACTGTTGTCCGGAGCACCCCATGGTGCTCTTTACAAGAAATGGTGGACGTGCCCTAACCCGTTTGACTCAGTGGATAGAGCATCGGCCTGCGGACTGAAGGGTCCCAGGTTCGATTCCGGTCAAGGGCATGTACCTTGGTTGCAGGCACATCCCCAGTCGGGGGCATGCAGGAGGCAGCTGATCGATGTTTCTCTCTCGTTGATGTTTCTGACTCTCTATCCCTCTCCCCTCCTCTCTGTAAAAAATCAATAAAATATATTTTTTAAAAAACATATTAAAATAAAATTAAACTTGAAAGAGTTTTCTTTCTTTAATTGAAATATTCTGGTGCTCCGTTGCATTTGGTTTTCTGTTAGTACACAGTACATAATGTGCTGGGTGTTCTGCTCGTCTTATTGAAACAAGCGCTAGGGAAACGGGTGTGTTTGTGTCTCCAGTCAGTGATGGTTTAACCTCGACCAAGTGCTCAGCACTCTGTGTATTAACTGTCTCATCACTTCTTTTCAGAGAGGCAAGAAGAGAAGCTGAAGAACAACAACAGAGACCTATCCATGGTGAGGGTCCCAAATATAACTTCCTGGTAAACAATGTTTTTTAGCAAAACATTTGCGTTAGGTACTCCACCCTCACCCTTTCAGAACTGCACAGTCTGCAGGCTGCAGATAATCATGGGTGTTCCTGGGCCCCCCTGGTGCAGTGGGCTGTGGGCTGGGACCTCACTCTGGTGATATGAACAGTCCTTAGGCTGACCCGGGGCCATCGTTGGCTCCTTTCACGTGATTGGCTCTCCTTATCTTTATCTTCTTACACGTTAATGCTGCACCTTTGTTTTCTGGTGAATGGTTGTCCCAGCACAGGGTGGGGTGCTACAGGGGCCTTCACTGTTGCCTCTTGTTCTGCAAGAGCCTTTGTTCTGAGTGGCAGCCTCACCATAACGTGTAAGGACAGTGATTTCATTGTCCATTTGCTCGTTTATAAAGAGCAGTCTGTCTAAGCATGTCTTTCTGAGGCGTCGGCAGGCTATGATATGGCGTGCCCAAATTTTCTATTTCATTTCTGTATATTTAACGTAGGGCATCCTAACTTTCCAACAGTTGTCTTTTGCTTAGTGAGAGCCCTTTGCTATATATCTTTATTTTGAAATTCTTAATTAGAAAGATTATAATTTAGAGGTGCATTTTTAAAAACTGCCTTTTCTTGCCCTAGCTGGTTTGGCTCAGTGGATAGAGCATCGGCCTGAGGACCGAAGGGTCCTGGGTTCGATTCTGGTCAAGGGCACGTACCTTAGTTGCAGGCTCCTCCCCGCCCCACCTCAGGCCTTGGTCGGGGCTTGTGCAGGAGGCAACCAATCAATGTGTTTCTCTCACATCGATATTTCTCTGTCTTTCCCTCTCTCTTCCACTCTCTAAAAATCAATGGAAAAATATCCTTGGGTGAGGATTAAAAAAAAAAAAAAAAAGGCTTTTCTTTTCTGTTGACACAATTACTACACATTCACCATAGCAAATTTGGAAACTACTGAAAAAAAAGAGACAAAAAAGGTCCAGATACAACTACTGTTAAGCTTACATCTTTATAATCTTTGGTTTATTTATGTTTTATGACATAGTGATTAAGAAAGAAGTTAGCTTCAAGTAACAACACTTGACTGACAAAGACTTAAGCAGATAAAGGGTTTTCACTTGCTCCAGAGTCTGAGGTGGTGTCCTGGGCTGGAGTGGCAGCTCGGATGTCAGGATGCCACCGATGCAGGCAGCCGTCCTCAGCCTCGGGCGGTCTAAGTCCACGGTGCTGCACCGCCAGGCACCGTGCTCTTCATGCCAGCAAGAGGAGTGAGCATGAGGCCTGCAGGATGGCTGCTCACCACGCCTGTCCCTTTGCAGGCCCCTCCCACACTGTGCTGCCTCCTGGCCCCCAGCACTGCCCCAGCAGGCGGCCAGGAGAGGGTCTGCAGGTGGGGTGGTAGCCGGCAGACAGCTTCTGGCAAAGGGCTCCTTTAAAAAGGGCATGAAAGCAACTTGTGGGGTGTGCTCCGGTGGTGGTTTCTCTGCAGTGTGAAATGACAGTGTGCTGGTCTCCTTACAGGTTCGAATGAAATCCATGTTTGCAATTGGCTTTTGTTTTACTGCCCTGATGGGGATGTTCAATTCCATGTGAGTACCCCTAACTGTTACTCTGTGATAATACTGTATTTTTATATTTTAAATGTACAGAAAAGTTACAAGAATGGTATGTCCATTATCCAGATCCACAAATGTTAACGTTTTGCCCCATTCACTTTCTCTTTCTCTCTCCATATCATGTATGTCCTCATATGTACATGATTTCTGTATTTTTCTGAGTCATTAGAGAGTATGCTTCATGCTCCTTTATCATAACTACTAGCGTGTGTTCCCTAAGGACATGGACATCCTCATGCATAACCTCAACCCAGTTATTGAAATCACGGAAATTGAATTTTGATAGAATACAATTATATGATAACTTTTCCATGCTCTTAGTAGGGAGTATGTTTTATGTACAGGCAAAGACTGGGTACTGTGGGGCCTTCAAAGGAAGGGTAGACATAAAAAGATGTTTTCACTCTTAAAATAGAGTTTTAACTGTAATCTCGTTAATGATAGCAGATTACTGTGTCTGACCCAGCAGGAGCAGCCGGAGTAATGGTGGAGCTGCTCTAACGGGCTGGGCAAGGGCCCAGATGACAGGCGCCACTTATCCCCCCAGAGCTCACTGAACCCTCTCACGAGGATAGGAATTGCCCTCACCTTTTCCTTACCTTTCTCTTACTCTTCCTCCCCGGCTTCATTTCTGTCTGTCTGTCTCTGCCTCTCCCTGTGAATACCCCCCGCCACAGTCTGTTCTTCTCTCCCCATCTGTTAAGTGCCACTTTATGCCAAGCATGGTGCCAGGTATTATATAACAGGTCAGGTGTGCCCCTGCCCTTGGTGATAGCAACGTTGTATGGGAAGGGAAGACAGACAAATACATGATGGATGTTACAACAGACATGTGTGTGGAGCACGTAGCCGGAAGAGGACGTGACTGTTGTTGCCTAGGGGAGGGGCCAGAGAGTGTCTGATCGTTTTCATACAGAATTTCCCCCGAACTAATGAGGGACCTTTGGAATATTCAGCAACTTGCCCAGGTTTCCAGAAGTCTCGTAATTTCTAGCATATAATTTAAATTCAGTGCTTTTTCACTGCCATGCTTTCTCTCATTTCTTGGGTGCGTATCACCGTGAATGAACAGAAAAACCGAACACTGAGAGGTTTTATAGTTGACGAGTACACTTCGTTGGTACAACTCCAGTACTCACGTATTCTTAACCTTGCCACGTTCTGGCTCAGCACTTACTGTAGAGGTGCTAAGTACTCAAACTTCTGATTTTTTTTTTACTTTTTTATTGAATTTATCGAGGTGACATTGGTTAATAAAATTGTATAGGTTTCAGGTATACAATCTATAATACATCATCTGTATATTGTATTGTGTATTCACCACCCCAAGTCAAGTCTCCTTCCGTCACTCACACTTCTGATTTTAAAATGATTTTTTTATAGCTTTAGTAGCGTGTGTGTAGTTTTTCTTGTTGGCCTTGGCTTTATTGTGTGATTACTGCAACAGATTTTGGGTCCTGTTTTGCTTGAAGTTCAGCATTTGATTTATTCCTTAGTCGTATGTACAGATGAGTTCTAATGAAATAGACTGACTAGGAAATAACTGGCCATTTCTGCCAGTAGTAATACTGCCTTATATCCATGCAATTCCCCTCCTTAACATTGTTTATGAACACAATGCACTAAACAGCCTTACAGTCTCAGCCAACATGTGCACACGCGCACACGCACACACGTCTGAAAGGTTGCTGTATGGGAAGGGCTTCAAACCTCTGTCAGGATCCTGATACTGAAGAAATGAAGACTCACTGGTTTAGAAAAAGATTGACGGGAACAGTTTACATCCTTCCTTATCTCCTTGTACTTCAGGTCTCTTTTTAGAATATCACCTTTTCTTGTTTTTTAAAGATCAAAGGACTTAAAGTTCTATTTCTGTTTCAGATTCTTCTCGGGAACTAAGAGGCTCGTCAGGCTTCTAAAAATAACGATCTTTGTTTTTTCCTTTTCAGATTTGATGGCAGAGTGGTGGCAAAGCTCCCTTTCACGCCCCTTTCCTACATCCAAGGACTGTCCCATCGAAATCTGCTGGGGGATGACACCACTGACTGCTCCTTCATCTTCCTGTATATTCTCTGCACCATGTCCATTCGGCAGGTGAGTGCACACACCCACAGTTAACACGGACAGTCATGTGCCACATCAGAGTTTGGGGTGATGACAGACCACATGTATGACACTGGCATGTCACAGAGCCTGGGTGTGTAGTCGCTACACCATCTAGGTTTGCGTAGGTGCACTCTGATGTTTAGATGACGAGGACATCACCTAAGGATGCGTTTCTCAGAATGTGAACCGTCGTTAAGCGCCGTGACTGTGCGTCCTTCCTTGCTCTCGTCCCTGCATTAGCTTTTGCTTCTGGAACACAGGTGTCCCCTGTGCTCTGCAGCCCTCCAGGTTCTGTTTTAAAACTCCAGTGCGCCGTCCAGAGCTGCCTTAAATGTGTGTGGTCCAGACTGCTGAGGCTTGGGGCTGGGCAGTGGCTGGAAAACCAGACGTGGTTTCCTCAGCTCTCAGGCTCCTTCCTCGGGGCAGCTGTCCGAAGGTCTGGGAGTGCGGAGTGGGCTGCCCTTCCTTCTGTGGTTTCTTCTTTGCTGGACACCAACGCCTTTGTCACTGTGGGAGCGCAAGTGAGCAGAATGATTTGGTCACTCCAAGTTGTTCATGGTTGAGATCAAGCCACCACAGGACCAGGCATTCATAGTGGAAATGAACGAGGGCTGAGGGAAGTACAGAGGCCGAGGGAGCCTGGGGGGCAGACCTGACCGTCAGTGGGGGTTTCAGGCAGGAAGGGCCAAAGAGGGAGGTGCTTTTGAGGTGGGATTTTAAAAAGTGATGGGTGCCCAGCCCAAGTGGCTCAGTGGTTGAGCATCGACCTATGGACCAGGAGGTCACGGTTTGATTCCCGGTCAGGGCACATGCCCGGGTTGTGGGACCATCCCTGGTGAGGGGCAACCGATCTCTCCTCACTGATGTTCCTGTCTCTCTTTCCCTCTCCCTTCCTCTTTGAAATCAATAAAAATATATATTTTTAAAAAGTGATAGGGGTTACTTAATTAAAGTCTCGGGTTCAAGAATTCTATATTTCAGGGCGTTGCTCAGTGTTCGGACACACTGCCATTCAGTAGGCGTTGCAGTGAATTTGAACACGATTCTTTCCGTGTCTTTTGCATAGTGATTCTTCCAGAGTTATTCTTGTTATTTTCATTAATAGTCTTCTCCTTTCCTCTGCAACCTTTTTAAGGTAGTGATTTCTTAGTTTGTGTGTCCCCTTAAAGTGCCTGTGTAATTACAGCCATTAATATTCTTTTTATTGTGGGAAAACAGACATAAAATTGACCCTTGTAACCGTTTTTAACTGTACAGTTTGTGACATTAAGTACATTCCACATTATTGTAAAACCACTCTCCGTCTCTAGAACTTTTATTTATTATTTTTTAATATATTTTTTAAATTTTAATTTCTTCATTGATTAAGTTATTACATATGTGTCCTTATCCCCACATTACCCCCCATTTCCCCCCCCTCTCATGCCCTCACCCCCCTGTTGTCTGTGTCCATTGGTTAGGCCTATATGCTTGCATATAAGTCCTTTGGTTGGTCTCTCCCCCTTACCCCCACCCTCCCCCGTCTCTAGAATTTTTAAATCTCAAATGGAAATCTTCCCCATTAAACACTAACTCTCTCTGTCCCCTCCCCCAGCCCCAGCAACTACCATTCTACTTCTTTCTGTCTCCGTGAATTTGACTACCCGTATTTGTGAATTTGACCTCATATAAGTAAAATCATATAATAGTTTTGCCCTTTTGTGACTGACATAATGTTTTAAGGTTTACCCACATCGTTACATTTCAGAATTTCTTCCTTTTTTAAAAATATATTTTTATTGATTTCAGAGAGGAAGGGAGAGAGAGAGAGAGAGAGAGAGAGAGAGAGAGAGAGAGAGAGAGAGAGAGAGAAACATCAATGATGAGAGAGAATCATTGATCAGCTGCCTCCTGCACGCCCCTCACTGGGGACCGAGCCCACAACCCAGGCATATACCCTTGACTGGAATCGAACCTGGGACCCTTCAGTCCACAGGCCGACGCTCCATCCACTGAGCCAGACGAGCGAGGGCTCCTTCCTTTTTTAAGGCCAATGCTACTTCACTGTGTGGATGGACCAGCCACATTTTGTTGATCTGTTATCTGTCATGGAAACTTACGCTGTTTCCACTTTTTTGTTGTTAATCCTCACCGGAGGATATGGCTGCCTCCCACACACGCCCCAACTGTGTCTGGGGATGAGCCTGCAGCCGAGGCATGTGCCCTTGACTAGAATCGACCCTTCAGTCCGTGGGCCAACACTCCATCCACTGAGCCAGACCAACCAAGGTTCTGTTTCCACCTTTGAACGTCCGAGTTCTTATATTCAGATGTGGAATTGCTGAGTCACAGTGCAATTCCATGTTTAATTTGTGGAGGAATCACCAGACAGCTTTGTGCAGCCACTGCGCCCTTTTACCCAGCACTTCACCACCAGCTTGCCGCCATGTTTTAAAAGATGCAAGTCATTTCTCATCTTTTAGTTTCAGTGAGTGGAAACCATAATTTCATTTATTCAGGTTAATGTTTATGCTGCACATTAGAAACGATATATATTTTATGCAGTTCCCTCCACCACTGGGCATGGCCTTGCTTGTTTTAATGGGGACGTCTTCTCACAGTGAATTAGCATAGAGCACAGTAGAGTGTCGTTAAAGTGTCCACGGAGGGGACTGGATACTCTGAACACCAGGTTTTCGGAATTTATGTTTGTAAAAGTCTTTTACTTGTGAAAGATTATGACTACACTTACACGTGTAGTTAATAACCTGTCTACGGGTCAACCAGAACCCACTTCCTCTACTGCCTGCCTGAGGGTTGATTAAACAGCGAGCTCCGCTGGCCCCTTCATACAGGAACACTCCCTGCTACGAGGAGGTGTGATATTAGGTTGAATTAAGCGTAGCCATCTGCTTCTGTCATTTCCCCCATCCTTAAGACTTGTGTTCACATTAGTAACTAGAGGCCCAGTGCACGAAATTCATCCACCGTTAGGGTCCCTAGAGGCTGTTGGCTGCCAGCCGGGGCCTCCCTTCCCCTGGCTGCCTGCTGCAGCCACCAGCCTAGGCATGGGCTGGCCTGGGGGGAGGGGGAGGGGGAGGTGAGGGGGGCCGCAGCCGGTTGGCAGGCCAGCCCCGCCCCCTGGTCAAACTCCCAGTCGAGGGGACAATTTGCATATTAGGCTTTTATTATATAGGATAATTCCTTGATAGAATCTATTCACTTATTCATTCCACAAAATTGAGCACATACATGTACCAGGCTCTGTGCCGGAGGCTCCGTGTTCAGCTGTAGACAAACTGACATGTGGTTGTGGTTCTTGCCTTCATGGGGCTTGTTTCTTTTGAAATAAAAAGGTTAATTTTCCACCTGTAGCTTCACTTTTTAAAATATCACTATCAAATATGAGAACATAGAAGTACAGTGGGGCCTTGACTTACGAGTTTAATTCATTCCATGATGGAGCTCGTAACTCAAATTACTCATACGTCAAATCAAAAAGTGAACGAGCCCTGACCAGTTTGGCTCAGTGGCTAGAGCGTCGGCCTGCGGGCTCAAGGGTCCCAGGTTCGATTCCGGTCAAGGGCATGTACCTTGGTTGCGGGCACATCCCCAGTAGGGAGTGTGCAGGAGGCAGCTGATAGATGTTTCTCTCTCATTGATGTTTCTAACTCTCTGTCCCTCTCCATTCCTCTCTGTAAAAAATCAATAAAATATATATTTTTTAAAAAAAAGTGAACAAGTGAGACACGTGATGCTGGGCTGATGTTGTGGCGTTCACTGTGACGTTCGCTGCGCCAACTAGTGGTGGGGTATCTGAAGCTGGCTCGTAACCCGAATTTTAGCTCACAACTCAAAGCAAAAAATCGGCCCAGAGACGGCTCATATCTCGAAAAACTCATTAGTCAGGACACTCGTAAGTCAAGGCCCCACTGTATATCTGAGTTTATTTCTGTTATGCTAATCATTCTAAGTAAATTAAACAAAGAAGCAAATTAGACAAAGATTAAACAAAGTGTTTGTGAGCCTGGTTTTCATCTATTACATGTCATGTTCCCTTTCTAGGGTGTTATTAGTCTATGGTTTACCACTGACTTAGGAGCTTTCAAGGAAAATGAAATAATATTATTATGCTGATCATACAGGGTAGGGCAAAAGTAGGTTTACAGTTATGAATATGTGAAACATCGCTTATTCTTGTATTCTTCTTTATTAATTATTGCATTGTTTCCCATACGAACAACTGTAAACCACCTTTTGCCCCGCCCTGTGTAATGGAATTGAAGCCCCATTTCTACTCTAAGATGGTGGGAGAGGGAGAATGCATGTGAGGCTGAGAACCTGCAGCACTGGCAGGTTGAATCTTACTCCCACTGAGGCGGAGTGTCCTGGGGAGTCCTGTAGCCTCTCGGAGCCCTGTTTTCATGGAGGTGACATGGGGTCCATGGCAGCCCCCACTGTGTGACGTCAGATGGTAGTCTGGAACGGAAACAGTTCCTACAGCCGCCCAAGTTCCAGCCCAAGATAGGACAGTGTTCCTTTTCACAGATTAAGACATGACATGTCATATTAACTGAAAATAAATCTAATGACCTTTGCTGATTTTATCTTTCTCCTTTTGTTTACTTCCTTAACGTCTGGTGATTAACAATTAGCTGCCTTGACCTTCACACCCAGCTATTTCCTTTGTGCATTTGTAGCGGTGGAAGCGGTAGGCCCGCCAACATCCCTGAGAGGTGTCAATAACAGTCCAGGGTGGTGACGGGCATTTCCTTCACTCCTTCATTAAGGTACTTGCTTTTGTTGTCCTTGTTATGAGTCAGTGGCTTGGGTGAATGGTTATCTCTGTATAAAGTGCTCTGCCTCTCATCTCAGTAAAACTCCAAAAGCTGGGGGAGACAGGTCTATTCCTATAGATTCATGGGGTTGTGAAATCCAGAAGGATCAGTGGTTCTGAGGAAATGCAGAACTCACAATGGGAACAAACCCACAGTAATTGTAGCGTGTGATTGCTCCCGTGTGTGTGTGTGTATGTGTGTGTGTGTGTGTGTGTGTGTTTACAATACGGTGTTGGAGAGAAAAACATGCTATGGACACATAGTGGCTTAAGTATTACAAATGTCCACCCTGTGACCACTTCCACCCCGCCCCCTCTCCAGGCCTTCACCACCCTATTGTCTGTGTCCATGGTTTTGCATATAAGTTCTTTGGTTAACCTCTTCCCCCTCCCCACTTCCCTCTGAAATACGTCAGTCTGTTGCATGCTTCAGTGTCTGTGGTTCTTTTTTTAAATATATTTTATTGATTTCAGAGAGGAAGAGAGAGGGAGAGATAGAAACATCTATGATGAGAGAGAAGCATGGACCAGCTGCCTCCTACACACCCCCTACTGGGGATGGAGCCCACAACCTAGGCATGTGCCCTGACTGGGAATCATACCATGACCTCCCGGTTCAGAGTTAGACGCTCAACCACTGTGCAACACTGGCCAGGCTCTAGTTCTGTTTTGTTTATTAGATTCCACAGCAAATCCTTTTTCTTTTTCTTTTATTGTTTAAAGTATTACAAATAGTAGTACATATGTCTCCTTTTTTTCCCCCCATTGACCTTCCCCCTGCTTCCCGTACCCCCACCCGCCCCCCCCCCCCCCCAGCACATGCCCTCACCCACCCCAGTGTCTTGCATCCATTGGTTATGCTTATATGCATGCATACAAGTCCCTCAGTTGATCTCGTACCTTCTCCTCCCCAACCCTCCCAGCGTTCCCACTGTAGTTTGACAGTCTGTTTGATGCAAATCTTTTTTCTTTAGGATATCTTCACTGGCTACAATATACTGGGCTTATTGTTTTTGTTTTAATCCTTTCAGCATTTTAACATACCTTCCCACTATCTTTTGCCTCCATTATTTCTTTATTTTTTAAAAAAAATATATTTTATTGATTTTTCACAGAGAGGAAGGGAGAGAGATAGAAAGTTAGAAACATCGATGAGAGAGAAACATCATCAGCTGCCTCCTGCACATCTCCGCACTGGGGATGTGCCCGCAACCAAGGTACATGCCCTTGACCGGAATCAAACCTGGGACCCTTCGGTCCACAGGCCAACGCTCTATCCACTGAGCCAAACCAGTCAGGGCTGCCTCCATTATTTCTGATGAGAAGTCCACGTATGTCTGTAGATAAGGTCACTTCCGTCTGGCTGCTTTCTGACTTTCTCTTGGAGTTTGGTTTTCAGCAGTTAGACTATGATGTGTGTAGGCTTTAGAAAGTAGTTTTTATCCTACCTAGATTTTCATTGAATCTTAGAAAATTTCAGGCATACTTTCTTCAAATATTTTTTTCTGGCCCATTCTTTCTTCTTCTGTGATTCTAGTTAAGTGTTAGTCTTTTTGGTATTGTCCAACAAGACACTGAGGCTCTATTTAATTTTTTAAAAGACTTTATTTCTGTTCTTAGGATAATTTGTGTTAATCTGTTGTCTGGGTTACTGACTCCTTTGTCATTGCTAATATGAGTGAGCCCCAACTCCATGCAGTGATTGTTACATTTTGATATAATATATTTGAGGTCCAGAATGTTTTTTTGCATCCTCTGCATCTGTATTATGGGAACTTGATGAGCAATTGTAATCAGTTGTGAGAAGCCTGATTGCCAGCTGCCAGCGAGACAAAGAGTGAACCGACAATATCCATGGCTGAGTTATTTTAGCTAAATGACTAAGGAATAAAATTTAGCAGAATGTCTTTATTGCCAGTGACCTGGTTCTTCCCAAAGCAACTTCCTCTTCTTGGTCACTGGTCCTGCCTTTGTAAAGAGGAAGGAGCGCAGATCCTGCAGTGGCATTTTTCTGGGTTTCCTGCCAATACAAGGTGTGATTACAGGAAAATGCTTTTCCTTCTGACACACACTCTTTAGTTGTGCCTTGTTACACAGGACTGGACAGAAAGTCAAAAGAATTGTTCTATATTCTTCTAAACCTGTGCTTAGTAGTGTTCTTCTACTTTATATCATCTTTATAGTATGTTAAAACACCTGTCTCCTAGCAGAATTCATGTTCCTAGACTCAATCTTCCTAATTAAGTAGGCCTGAAAAATGGCCTCCAGGAGGATCATGGAGGGGCGTGGCTCCACAGTCAGGACAAGTTTCATGGAGGAGGTACTGCAAGATGTAGAGGGTAGCATGCCCTCCAGTCCCTGCCACACGGCATGGTGCTCAGGGAGGGAGGCTCAGGCTGGGAGGCTCAGAGGGGGATGCTGGGGGGAGGGGGAGGCTCAGGGAGGGTGGCTGGGGGGAGGGGGAGGCTCAGGGAGTGCTGACGGACAGCAGTGCCTTTTGCTTATCTGCACACCAGGGTAATAGAAAGCCTCTTCATGGAGTTGTGAGAATGTAAATAAGATCATGTGCATAGAAATACTGGTCTTCATTATAGATTATCCTGTTCAGCGATATTTCAAAAAGTTGGAGACAAGGAATAAGAAAAGGGTATACAACTGTTATTAACACAACTGTTATTTTCTGTATATTCTTACAGTCTTCATATGTATTTTTTTATAGACCTTGTGTTTAGAGCAATTTTAGGTTCACAGTGGTGTGCCCATGCATAGTCTTCAAAATTGTGACTTAAAAACAATAGGCCAGGCGCTAGCCAGTTTGGCTCAGTGGGTAGAGCGTGGCCTGAGGACCAAAGGGTCCCGGGCTTGATTCCGGTCAAGGGCACGAACCTTGGTTGCAGGCTCCTCCCCGGCTGGGGCCCTGGTCAGGGCTTGTGCAGGAGGCAACCAATCAATATGTTTCTGTCATATTGATGTTTCTCTCTGTCTTTCCCTCTCTCTTTCACTATCTCTAAAAAAAAAAGAAAAAGAAAAAAGATCAATGGAAAAATATCCCCGGGTGAGGATTAACAGCAGTAACAACAACAAAAACAGACCAGGCTGCTGCAGGGCTGTTCTTGCTGAGATCCAGGCCTGCTGAAGGGCCAGCTGGGCTTGGGTGGTCGGTCAGTGCCCTCCTGACGTGTGCTTCTCTGCCCCCACTTTCTCATCTCTAAGGTGAGGACGCCTGAGGACTCCCATCTGTCCTTAGAACTATTTGTAAACTTGAATGTGCACAGAGATGTAGGCTGTTGCTACCACGGTGGCGAAGAGCGTGACGCTGGCCCTGCACCTGGGCTTCTTGCCTCTGCAGGCCCTCGGCGAGTTCCTCCACGCGTTTCACAGGAAGAGACTTCACGGACTGGGAGCAGGGGACTCCTGTCCAGGAAAAACAGTCCTGAGACCTGGGTCACTCGTGAGAGTACAGCCTAGGAATTTAAATAGACTGTTTGGAACTTCCCTAAAGGAAATTGCAGAGCAGTTTGTGTTTTGTTTTGCTTTCTTGCAGAGCAATTTGTATTAAAACACAAACACTTGAGTACTGGAGCACTGATAAGCTTACTGTAGTGTCCCCCACGGGGCCCTAGCAAGAGTCACAGGAGAACAGAGTACAGGGCTGCCTGAGGTTCCTTCACTGCAGGCCCGGCGGCTGACGTGCCAGGGCTCTGACGTCGTGTGGCTCTGTGGGTCCTGGTAGGCTGTTCCCGTCTGGAGCAGCGCTCACGTTCCACAGCCGGTTATGTTTCCACTTCATAAATGAGACTGTCAACAGTCTGCCCTTCAAAGTAGGATGCCTTCTGTGCCTCTCCTTTCACTTGCCTTCTTTCCCTCCCTCCTGCTGCCCCTTTCCACGGAACAGCCTCCGTCGTCTTCTGTAGATCACAGTCAACATCACAGTCAACTCGTAACTTAAACGGCATCAGAGGCTTGACTGGCCTTTATCTCTAAATGATAACAACTCACTTAATAGACCCCCGTCTCTACAGAATAACCAAGCAGGGAGGCGTGTTTTGTCTAGACCAGCCGTGGGCAAACTACAGGCCCTCGGGCCGGATCCAGCCCGTTTGAAATGAATAAAACTAAAAATAAAAAAGACCGTACCCTTTTATGTAATGATGTTTACTTTGAATTTATATGAGTTCACACAAACACTCCATCCATGCTTTTGTTCCGGCCCTCCGGTCCAGTTTAAGAACCCATTGTGGCCCTCAAGTCAAAAAGTTTGCCCACCCCTGGTCTAGACTGTATTATCGTGTTTGTTGACTAGACAAGTGTGTTTATCAGCAGCCAATCTGGTAATGTCTTATTATTTCAAATTTTATCTTTAAAGTAACTTCCCATAATGCCTTGCTTAACCCTGGATACATTGTAGGTGGTGGGTAAATATTTACTAATTAAAAGCAATTGGAAATTGATGACATTGCATTTTGGGTCTTCTCATTGCTTTGCCAATGGATTTTATAGAGGTGGACACGTGGAGCTATTTTTATTATGAAAATAGTACAGACGTGTTCCAGATTTACTAAGGAGAAGTAGCCCGATCTACAAACGACTTGTTTTCTTAACTTGTTTCCAGATTTCTTTTTAATATAAAGCATGAGCGATAGTATTGTGAGTAAATCTATCAGTGAAGTATTCACGGTCAATGTAATTCAAGAATTCTTAAGGTTACCTTCATATTCTGTTACATTCTGTTGTAATCTGACAGGGGTATCTCAGATATACACACTTCTGCATGGGTCAGCATTCTTAGAGATGAAAGGTCAGGGCGCTGGCTCTGGGATTCTCGCAGTGCCTCACGCACAGCCGGCCCTCAGGGACTGTCCAGTGAGGAGTGGATGCGCGGGATGGTAGCACCCTCTTCTAGAACTGTAGCACCTGACGCTCACTGACTCTCCACGTCGAAGCCCTTCCCTCCCCTCCAGAAGAATCCCCATTAGTCCCCATCACGCTGTCACACCGTGCCCCCAGGATCACTCGGGAGTCTGCCTGCCTACCCCTGTCTCTCCCACAGTTGAGTCATTGTCTTCCATGATTGTGTCTGTCCCCAAACTGTTTATACTGGTTTACTTGTTGGATCCATGTACTTTAATTTAATGTTATATTAATTGGTGAAATCTGAGTATAAAATAGTCATTTTTATGAGAACTAGTTTAATAAGTATGTTTCGTAAAAAACTATTGAATCAGGTGTGAGTGAGGATCTGGGAAAGCTGAGAGGCCGTGCTCAAAACCCAGGAGGGTCCTGGGCTCAGGTTCCTTGGCAGGATTCTAAGTTCTCTTGTTCTTTCGAAGAAATTGAATTGGAATAAAGTGGGGCCTTGACTTACGAGTTTAATTCGTTTCGAGACCGAGCTTGTTAGGGAGCTTGTTAACTCAAATTACTCTGTCAACTCAATGCAGAAAATCGGGGAGAGACAGCTGGTCTCTCAAAAAACTCGTTAGTCAGGACACTTGTAAGCCAAGGCCCCACTGTACTTCCCTTTCCGCTTAGACTAAGTCCAGGCAGCAGACCCACATCAGTATCTCTCTGTCTTTCCCTCTCTCTTCCACTCTCTCTAAAAATCAATGGAAAAGTATCCTCAGGTAAGGATGAAAAAAACAAAAACAAAAATCCTATATAATAAAAGGCTAATATGCAAATTGACTAAATTGTGGAACGGCTGGTCACTATGACACACATTGACCACCAGTGGCCAGACGCTCAACACAGGAGCTGCCCCCTGGTGGTCAGTGCGCTCCCACAGGCGGAGAGCTGCTCAGCCACAAGCCAGGCTCACGGCTGGCGAGCGCAGCAGTGGTGGGAGCCTCTCCCACCTCCGTGGCGTTGGACATCCCCCAAGGGCTCCCAGGCCAGGCCAGGCTGAGGGACTTCCCCCACTCCGAGTGCACAAATGTCATGCACCGGGCCTCTAGTAAAAAAATAAAACAGAAAATCACCTCTTTTTGTGATTCTGAACTTGACAAAGCAGCTTCTTTGGTTCGTGGGCTGAAGTCCGGCCTGGCCAGAGGCTCTGTGATCCCCACCATGTTGCAGGTTTCACAACACAGAGCGGCCCTCCTGTTGGCAGTCATGAGGGCGTTCTCAGCTGGGCGTCTCTTCCTGTGGGTCTGTGGAAGGCACTTCTGTGGCTCGTGTTAAAGCCCATTTTCATTCCTTTTTCCTCAGAACATCCAGAAGATTCTCGGCCTTGCCCCTTCGCGAGCTGCCACCAAGCAGGCAGGCGGGTTTCTTGGCCCTCCACCTCCTTCTGGGAAGTTCTCCTAAAATCAAGAAGAACCTGCAATTCCTGCCACTTTTTAAGGTCTTCAAATTAGAGGAACAACTATTTTATAGCAAGAGCCACCGGCAGCCTCGGCACTCGGGCCACTTTCTCGCCTTGTTTCTAGACTTTATGGATGTGATTAGAATGCGAACGGCACCCAGCAAACCAGACGGCAGCGTGGCCACTAGATAAGTGGGGGGGCGTCTGTGATGAGAAAGTCTTGTTTTGTTTACCCGAACATTTTCGTGGGACCGACGCGAGACGGCTGTGTGCCCAGGAAGCCGGCTGTGTGAGCCTTTAGCAGTCAGAAAGGAAAGTAGCTTTCCAGTAGTTAGTTATGACTCTTAATCGTGTGGGTTTTTTAAGCCAAATCTATGACCTGTGATCAATAAAGAGGCCAAAATTTTCGCTGTCTCACCCACAAGGGAGGTCTGTCTCGTTCGCCACGTTTCTAGGTGCCTGTCTCGGTGATGTGGACGTGAAGGTAAGCAGTGCCAGGGGGCTAACGTGCAGTGTTCGCTGCCCCGGCTCATGTTTGCCTCATTAACTCCACACACACAGTTGCCCCATCATAGGAAGCGGAAAGCCTAAGGGAAGGGAAGCAGGGACCCCGGGGTGGCTGTGCAGCGCCCCAGCGGTGCCCCACCCGCACAGCCTGCTGGCCTCCCGCGAAGGGGCCCTGGCAAGAATGTCACACAGAAGAAATAAAGCTGCCTCGTCACGGCAGTGTCCACACAGGAGGCAGTAAGGCCTACAGCAGCCTCCCCGTCAGTTTTTTGAATTACTTGCCTGGAAAAAATGTGAAGAGGAGCCATGTGACCGATACCCAAGCAGACCATCACTGAGTTATTGGCGCTGACATGCCCAGCCTGAGACGCCCGTTCTTTCAAACATGATTTGGCTGCTCGGCCTATGGAAGGATAGCATGTCCCCTTCCAGTTAAAAAGTCAAGCACTCTCCATCCCTTCGGTAGCTCCCTGGGCGCACTGATACTATGCAGGGGTAGCGGAGGTCTGCCCAGTGCGGGCAGGCTGAGTCCTCACCAGGCAGCACCCAGAGCGAAGGCAGCTGGAAGGTGGAAAGCGCGTGTGAGTGCTCAGCCCTGACCGACCGGGTGTGGCCCGTCATCCTCAGCGGGCCACGCACTTAAAGCAGCACCCAGGACCCCCTTGCCCCAAATCAAACTCGTACGTAGTAGGGTTTTCAGTGTGCGGAACACTTACGTGCATTTCACTACTGTCCTCAACACAGTACCACATACTTTCTCCTTTTTTGGATTAAGTCTGCTTAAGTTACAGTCCTTTGTTTTCATTTATTGTTTCCTCTGGGTTTTAAACTTTTGAATGGGAAAAAAAATCTCACAAATAAAAGTTTTTAAAAGTGAAGTATAAAGAACACCCAGATACCATCGCTACTGGACTTCAATTATTAACTCACTAGAGGCCCGATGCACAAAGATTCCTGCAAGAATAGGCCTTCCTTCCTCTGGCTGCCGGCACCGCCTTCGCTCTGGCCGGAGCCACCTTTATGCCTTCCCACACTGCCCAGAGGCCTGGAGCGTCTGGGGCTGTGCGGCTGTGCGGAATGCCTGCATCGTCGCCATGGCAACAATGCAAACGTCCCACCCTCCCCACCCCCACCGCTTGGTGCCTATGTATGCAAATTAACCCGCCATCTTTGTTGGGTTAATTTGCATACCCCTGATTGGCTGGTGGGCATCATGAAGGTACAATTTGCATCTTTATATTTTATTAGTGTATATGGTCAGTCTTCTGTCCACCCTGCCTCTGTCCCTCATGTCATTTTGAAGCAAACCCTCTACATCAGTGGTTCTCAACCTTCCTAATGCTGTGACCCTTTAATACAGTTCCTCATGTTGTGGTGACCCCCAATCATAAAATTATTTTTGTTGCTACTTCATAACTGTAATTTTGCTACTGTTATGAATCGTAATGTAAATATCTGATATGCAGGATGTATTTTCATTGTTACAAATTGAACATAATTAAAGCATAGTGATTAATCACAAAAACAATATGTAATTATATATGTGTTTTCTGATGGTCTTAGGCGACCCCTGTGAAAGGGTCATTCGACCCGCAAAGAGGTCACGACCCACAGATTGAGAACCGCTGCTCTACATCATTCCTTTATACTTAAATATTTTGGGGCTTTTATCCTATCTAATAATAGACAAACATGGTAATTAACTGTAGCTCCGACACGCTTCCCATTGGCTAATCAGGGTGATATGCAAATTAACTGCCAACCAAGATGGCGGCCAGCAGCCAGGCAGCTGAAGCGAACAGGAGGCTTGCTTGCTCCAGTGATGGAGGAAGCCAAGGTTCCCCGCCTGCCGCTGCCGGCCTCTGAGCTGCAACTCTAAGAAACAATGTTGCAATTATAGAAGCTAAACAAAACCCAGAAACCTGCTTTCGGCCAGCTGGGCTTCAGCCAGCAGGATCGCAACAGTGTTTCAATTATAGAATCGAAACAAACCCAGATACCTGCTTTCAGCAGCCGAGGTCTCAGAGCTGCAGCTGGGCCTCAGAGCTAAAGCCGGCTCTCAGCTCCAGTGACAGCCATAGAAGGTAAATAAATCCCAGAATAAAAAGAAAAAAAGGAGAAGTTGGAAGCCTCAGTCGCCCACCAGCCTGAAAACGGCCCTCAGCCCCTCTCCCAGACTGGCCAGGCACCCTAGTGGGGACCCCCACCCTGAAGGCGGTGTGACCAGCTGCAAACAGCCATCATCCCCTCATCCAGACTGGCCAGGCACCCCAGTGGGGACCCCCACCCTGAAGCAACAAGATGGCGGCTAATTTGCATACTGAAGGTGGGCGGCAGCGGGCAAGGCTGTCCGCAGTCCGGGACCAGATCTGTGACCCTGCTGAGCGGGGGACAGTGCTTGAGGCTGTCCACAGTCCCGGGACCTGGATCCATGACCCTTCCCAGCAGGGCAGCAGCTCGCACAGGGGCGGATCGGCCGGGGTTGGGCAGGGCAGGACACCTGGCTTCCACCCAGCCCCAGTCACTCTGGGCAGGTGAGCAGTGCAGAGAGCCTCTGGACAGGGGAGGCAGGCCGACGGAGGGCGGCCTGTACTCCCCACATGGTGGTGGTGACAGCTGTGAGCGTGCCAAGCGGAGCCTGCAGGCTGAGCTGAAGTAGCTCCTGCAGGCCATCAGAGCCCAGTAGTGTCTGTGCAAGATCTGCCTCCTGGCCCAGAAGGTGCAGGATCGCAAGGACAGCCACTGTGGCGGGCCAGACTGACGTCCTCCTGGCCACACCACGGGGGCTTGCGGATCTGCAAAGGCAGAGGCCTACAGTGTGCACATCCCCCCCTGGTGTGCGAACATCCCCCAGCACACTGTCACCCTCCCGCGCCTGCAACAGTTGCAAACCAAGGCGTGCACAAGTTCCCCCCGCCTCTCCACCGCACTTCCATCAACCCGGTATGCCTAACACCCCCACAGGATGTGCACACATCCCCTCTGATGCGCTCATGCCTTTGGAGAGTGTCTGGGTGTTCTGGGTGCTGAGGGTGGGCGCCTGTGAGATGACAGTGAGAGGGCGGAGTGGTGATGCCCTGTTCCCACGGAGGCCAGTGCAGCTACGAGATCACCTCTGGGGGGGTTAATGCAGGTGCTGAGGCAGGAGCAGATGCAGACAGACACACCTGGTGGGCACGGGCGGCCCTCGCTGAGGTGCCTTCGGTCAGCATTCAAGATCAACCCAGAGGCGGAGAGGAATTCTGTCCTCTCAGTGAAACAGTGGGATAGTCAGGGCGACTGTAGAGGAGGAATGTGCACTTTGGGTGCCAGCACCCATGAGCGAAGGCTGCCCTGACTGAGCCTCGCTTGCGTGGGGACTAGCGCACTCCTGCTGGGCAGGGGGTGACAGGACGTGCTTTTCCAAATTAATGAGAGAAAACGTTGATTCTCCTGCTGCCCACGAAGGTGGAAAGTGAAGTGGGGAGACATGTGGGGAGTGAGCAAGGTTCCCTGCTGTTGGTTTCTTTCACCACTGACTAGAGATATACAGGGTGTCCCCCCAAAATGTATACACACTTTGAATACCTACTAATTCCAATGGTTTTAAGCATAAGAAAGAAACAACAATGGAGCTGTTATCTGTTAAAAGTGTGGGCACAAACAGGTAGTTGGACATTCCCTGAGGGGTCTCAGATTGGAGAGGGCGAAGGCCAGACTGAGGGGCCCTTTCCCGCCCGCCCCCCCCCCCCAGTGCACAAATTTTGTGCACTGGGCTACTAGTATATATATAACCTCAATACCATTTACACACCTACAAAAGGGACAATTCCTTGATATCATAAGTTGTAGATAAAACTTACTACAGTTTTTGAATTGAGAGCAAATAAGAACCATATTGCGATTGGGTGATAAGCACTGTAAATCGATTCTGCTCTGTGGTCCTGGTTTTCAAATTGGAGTGCGTCAGAAACTCCTAGAAGCTTTTAACCAGACTGCTGGGCTCCACCCAGGGACTCCATTCCAACCTTCTGGCAAGTTCCAGGTGCTGCTGCCGGCCTGGAGGCCACACTCTCTAGTGCCTCCCTCCTCTCTCTCACACAAAAACACACCCGCCCCAGCAACTTCTTTCTTTTCATTAATAATTTTAATTAATTAATTTTTTGTTAATCCTCACCTAAGGATATTTTTCCAATGATTTTTTAGGGAGAGTGGAAGAGAGAGGGACATAGAAACACTGGAGTAAGGGAAACACGTCAATTGCTTGCCTCTTGCTCACCCCCCAACCAGGGCACAGACCTGGGCCAGGGAGGAGCCTGCAAACAAGGTACATGCCATTGACCAGAATCGAACCCGGAACCCTTTGGTCCATAGGCTGATGCTCTATCCCACTGAGCCAAACTGGCTAGGGTGCAACTTCTTTCTTGAAGAATTTTTGTTCCCCTCAGCTGGGAGCTCAGGCCTATTTCACATCCTGCTGGCTGTCTCTTTGGTCCATTGATTAATTAGGGCTTGAAAAAATGATGACTTCCTCTTTCTAGGGTCCCTGTGTTATCAGGTGAAAGACGGCTACAGCTGGAACTTCCGTGCAGCTACCGCCTGGCTCCCCGGGGCAGGATGAGTGGTCAGAACATGGAGTTGTCCACTAGCACCTCCCCTGGCGAACAGTTTCTGTGTGTGAGACTGTGATTAGCAGTTCCTAGATTAAACATACTTGCTGCACTTCAACCCACTTAAGTTAATTTTCCTGTGGCTCTCAGATTGTCCCCTCTCCAGCCATGAGGGGCTCTGTAACTGCTCCTGACTTCGCATGGGCCACGAAATTTCAATCGCACTGTACGTGCGTGCCTGCACGTGGTATTTTGTGGAAGAGCCACACTGAAAGGGCCAAAGAGCCGCATGTGGCTCGCGAGCCACGGTTT